GACGGAAGCGTAGACACCCTTTCGCTGAAGTGAAAAAACACAAATGCGGGAATGGAACAATCAGTGCATATCAGTCATGCACACAACATGTAGCACAGCAACATGGAAAACCCGGCCCCACCGGCCTAGGGCATGGTCGCTAACGTGACTCAGCTACCCAAATGTCTGCCCTCGTAAGACTGCAGCCTGTGAACGGAGGATTTTCTTTTTTCTAGTACGCACAAAAACAGATACACTGTATTACTTCGCTGTCAGCCTACCTGTCTAAACACCTAAACAGTCCTTAGCAGTCAGGCGCTGTGAGGGTAATATAACTTTACATAAGTTAATTGTTAACCCCCTCCCGCAATTTCTCAAAGAACGAATTCGTACGTTTCCAAAAATCGACAAGACCCTGGGACTGGTCCAAAATCCGGCAAGATTGTCCCGCGGATGGTCCGCGGAAGAGATCTCATCCCTGTTAATTATTAGTTATTACTATTTCGCGTTAAGGGGCGTAACTGTTGAGCCACGCGACAGCACGGCAACTACAGCACTTTGGAAGCGTTTTCAATAAAATATAATGCTAAATAAATACGAAAATCATTACTACCAAAGTCTGATGTTTCTATAAACTTCCTCTTTCACCCTATTATTGCCAACAATTTCCTGTAACATGCCGTCCAAATGCTCATATACAACAACACTGGGCTGCCCCATTGCTGGCGCTGCGCACACTGACACATCAAATATTATCATAGCAGGTGCTACATAATACAGTAACACAGTCGAGCATTAGGCATGAGTGCAAGTATTACGAGCGAGAAAACCACATACATACATCACATACAAACAAACCGTATACACAATATACATCTACTTAGCCAAATATCGACATAACAACTACATACAAAACCTGCTATATTCGAGGCATAACTAAATATCTTATTCCACACATATACGATTGTGGAAACGATATCACTAATACCCAATAGCCAATATATGAATAACATATATCATAGATACACAAATATTGCATACTAGTACAGATTCTATAAACATAATCATAACATGACTACATTATATTCGATTACATAACATATTAATGACCAATCAGCTATGAAATTTAATTTACACTCATGATTTTTCATTCATAGAAAATAAAGAATAGCACACCATACAGTAGCACAATGTTACTATCTCAGCTGAATAACAGTGAGGACAGCCACCGACTACAGACTGAGCTCTGTAAACATAAGCTATATCACAGCTATCGATATCACTAGCAGTACAACATTTACATTACATACTATACAAACATACATACATACATATCATACTATACACTAATCAATCACATACATACTATTACATACATACATATCATACTATACAATACGAACTTCTAACTATTATATATTAGATTATAATACGCTCTATCACTATCCAGGTAAGGCGTCACATGAGAGCTGTAGGTACTGGAATAAGCATCAATAAATACCTATACTCTTATGTGCATAACTTGCTAAATAACTTGTATCCGTGTACGTGCAGCAAGCTGGACACGTGTTACGGACGTTGTGTTTACGAGAAAAAACCAGTGGCGTGGTCGCGCTAAGTCGTACTGTGGGCATCTTGAGCGCTGTCTGTCGCGAAGTGTAGTAAATAGGAGCTTGCAGACGTGTCACCTTAGCAATAGAGGGTATGATTGGGCATCAGTCGCGCTACCTATTAGTTAGTATATAGAGTACTCACTAGTTGCCGAGCCACAAGTCTTCTGCCCTGAACCCTAGCGCACATCTTTGCACAACATCTGCGCACCGCGGATACAAGATGCTTCAAGCAAGTGGTGCCAGGTCGGAAATTCTGAAAATCTAGCCAGTATATTATGAGATAGTGATTTCAGAGGTCGAGATGTTAAATTGTATTTGTTTAAATGATGGCTCTTTGATTGTTATAAACATTTTAACATTATTATTTGTTTTTTTGAAAGTCGTATTGATTTAATTTTTGTAATGTTTACTGAGTCATGCAGTCGTGACAGAGTGTAGTATTGTTTGTGTGGCTTTCGTATAAGCACTACATCAACCAATCCGCGCTAGGAAAACAGGATCTTAACCGAAGAGCTCATTAAATATTCGCACATATTCTACTGAGGTGATTACACATATTAAAAGTAATAGGAACAATTAGTAGTCTATATGTCAAAGTATTGATGAACTGTATCTTCTGTATTGCTGTAATAAATTATTTAAAACTAATAATATTCAATTGTTAGGGTGTTCGTGTCGCACGAATTTCTTAGTCGGCTCGTGCCAGCGCGGCGAGCAGCACTACTAAAATCTAGTCGCAATACATAGGTTGCACCACGGAGGCAAAATCAAGTTGTTTGATTCTCGTCAACTCGTTGCACCGCAACTAAAATTTTCGAGTGATGTCAAGTGGTTCGTCTGCCAGGCGCCGTCCCTGTTCACACTGGCCATTTTTGCAACAGCGAACCACGAAAATTGCACTGTTAAAGCGGCAACCGAGAATAAGCGCTGAGAGGTGATGGCTTCAGCGCCCCCAGCGAACATCAAGATGTGCGCCGCAACGCGAGCGCGGAGCGACGAGGTATTGAGCGGGCGAATTCAGGCAAACATTCCCACATGGCCGCGAGAGGGCAGTAGCAACGCTGACACAGCAATGGCTTGCCTGATTTGTTATTGATTTTTGGCACAGGGAGACATTACTCCCTGGCACCGCCATATGAAATCTCGGTATGCGCGCCTGCGCGTTAACGCTGCGAGAGGTGATGTTTAAAAAAATTTAATGTATTAGTGTTAATTAAAATTAATTAGGTTAAGGTTAGGGTTAGGGTTATCGTTAGGGTTAGTGTTTAGCGTTATCGTTAGGGTTAGGGTTAGGGTTAGGGTAGTCAGAAACGGAGTCGAATGTGGGAGTAATGTCTGCCCGGCGACCAAACCTTTGTTAACTTTCACTTTATCACTTCTGAAAAAGCGACGAATATGACGGATTTCCAAAGGTAATTACTGCGGCGAGGGCAAGTAGTATCAGTGCGTAAATGCCAAGCGCCAGAAATCCACTCTTACCATACATTTCAGGCCGTTAGCATAAATAAATCGTTACACGCCCTAGAAAGCGGTGCTGCCAAAATCGCTGACGGCTCGATGATTTCACAACATACATACATACATACATACATACATACATACATACATACATACATACATACATACATACATACATACATACATACATACATACTGGTATGGTACTTACCATATGGTAAATGGGGAAACAATGGAAATGTAGGGTGGCGGCAGGGGTGTATGCAGGGGGGGGGGGGGGTCGTGAGGGTCGTACGACCCCCCAAAATTTCAAAAGGTCCACACTTTTTCCAAAGATAAATGAATAAACATAATAAAAAAACATAAATGAAAAAGCATAATTGACCAGGTACCAGCAATGAGTCCAAAGACCTTGCCAATTGCGTGACGTAAATCTATCCCAATTCCAGCAATTCTGAAACTGAGCCTGCCATCCGCTTCAAGCTGGTGGCGCTGTAATCGATTCTGAGAGATTTCCGAGAGATTTTCTGATGTTGCCCGTCAATGTGCTGGCCTGCTTGCTCTAGTACCAACCAACAAGGAAAACCCCACAGCAGATGAAACAAAGTCTCTCAAAGAAGCTGTGACGATTTTCCAGGATGACCTACCAAACCCTGAACTTGTCGATGAAGAGCTTCTCCACTGGAAAGCGCTCTGAGAGAAAGTCCCGGATAACAAATTGCCAAAGTCAGCTGCTCAGTGCCTAAAGAAATGTGACATAACCTTGTTCCCAAATATATTCACTCGCTTGAAACTGCTACACTTCCCGCAACGTCGTGCGAGTGTGAGCGAACCTTCAGTGCTCTACGCAGGCTCAATACCTATAACTGTTGTTCCATGACGCAGGAAACAATGTCTAGTTTAGCCCTCATTCATATACACTACGAGAAGAAGGTCGATGTAGAGGAAGTGGTACGTGCATTCTGCCAAAAGCAACCTAGACGAATGCATTTCGGGCATGTCCTAAAGGACTAGAAGAGACACTGAAATGATTGGTTTTGTGTATTTTTTTTGTTTCAATTAAATTGTATTGACATTTTAATCACATCTTGCTGTTATTTCATTGTGAGAAGGTCCAAAAAATTATGATCACGACCCACCCAGAAAAAATCCTTGATACACCCCTGGGCGGATATAGAGGCGAGAAGAGCATGTGCATACATGTCCATACCACTTGTTTACCAGACAACTCACGCTTTACATTACGGCCAACCACGAAATCAAGATGCCAATATAATCACAAATTTGTATAAAACAGCGAGGAAGTGACTATAGCTAGTAGAATCAAGAAAGATATCATTCACTCCGGTACACCAATTAAATAAAATCACCATAAACTTCGGGGGAAATAGTGACCATATTTACCGTTAGGTGGCGCACACGCGTGTGCTGACTGTGCTCGGTTTCAAATACAACAGACATGGCGACCATAAATCGTGTTGATCGTTCAATATGTATATTGATGAAGATTTTCGTACTATTATTTTGCATATTTGCTACGTTTTCATCTCTGACATGGAGCATGTATACTGGTTTATGTGTTATCCTTATCATATATGCAATTGCCGCTTTGTTATATATACCTCGACCAAATGTTGAACTTGTCAAATCGGCTCTCGCTCACAACACCGAGAACACCAACACAGAGTCGACCACACCTAATAATATTAGTGAAACAACTAAACGCAAGAATAAAGTGCTGGTTATTGCGCATAGAGGAGCGGGCGACGATGCACCGGAAAACACGCTGGTTGCTTTCAGACTGGTATTTGACTGGCACCATTCGTTTTGTTACTGTAGTGTTACTGTTAGTGTTAGTCTTACCGGTTCAAGGATAGAGAACATGGGTCCCAATAAAACCAATGTCATTTACAAGTCAGATGCAGCTGGTACTGGTAGTTGTACTAGAATCGCATGAATGTCCGTCCCACAGGCACTTGCAGGGGTCGAAATTAGCGGTATCCCGATATCCGCGGGACACCAGATTCTTGTGCGGGATACCAGATTTCA